TTTACACGTATTTCGTTCCTGCAGACAAAGAGTGAGTGGACTTGTAAGGTCGATCACTTGACTGACGTTATCAAGTTCTTTTTGAAATCACTGCCAATCAACTGTTTTGATGAATTGAGGCGTTAAAGTGCCTCAAGGGCGGGGGCATGCGGCAGCGAGGCTGCACCTAATGGTTGTCTGCGCGCCCTGTTAGGTTTGAGTTCTGAGCAAAGGAAGGACGCGTCGGAGCGACTTGATGAGCGCCCTCTTCCCCGAACTAATGTTAGCGCCGGATGATTCCCGAAAAGTAGTAGTGTTGTTCACGAGAGGAAGTAGTGTGTAATACGACGCATTCTAGGATGGAACCCTATGCTTTACTCACGGTGTTATTTCACCTTCACAAAGAACTCAGAAGTGACCTAAAGTGTTGGAATTCAGTCGACGTTGGAATGGTTATCGATTTGTGGATGCTAATGGTAATGAAGTACATTTTCAAGGAATGTTTTACTTTCTACGGGTTCTTATTGTAGGGAATCATTCTGTTGCCATAGTTGAGCTGACTGCGAATGATCGTGTACCTCGTAAGCCTCGAAGTGATGTGTCCAAAGATCCAAAATGTGGCACAATAGAGAACGGTACCAACTTGGTTCGTAGAAGTATTCAAACATTACTCGGGTGTGCATCAAAACATTTCAGAAGTGGAGTACAAACAGTTCATGCATGATCTGGAAGTGGAATACGAAATGGCACGACTATCACTAGATGAGCAGCTCCTGCATGCCCAACAGCTACGGACAGATGCGAAAGGTAAAGCTTTTTGGACGTAGGGGCATATAAAGCCTAGGTTCAGACTAGAACTGTAACTCACCTCCACGAACATCCTTGCCATCTGCGAGGTGAATTGGTCCGTAGCTGCAGTAGTCACTTTCCACTACTCAAAATTGCGCGGAAACGGACTGGGGGAGGGGCAGTAATATCCGGGTGCCCCCTCCGTACTCCGCCGATCCCCAAGGTGCAGCAGTCACGTCGGTTCAAGGGTCCCTCATCGAAGCCCATTACTTCACTGTCAAAGAACAATCCAGAAGTTAAGAAGATGCAGGGCAAGTTAGCGCGTCTTCAATATGGCTTAGGCGCCTGGGCTCACCGGTGCGGCATAGGCGAAGTATTGGAAACGGACTCGTGATACACTACCTAACAGCCGTTCCCTGGAGGATAATTATCAGAGTAGCGTCTCTAAAGTTGCAGTGCCTATGTTTTTGGGGCTCCGTCGCTGATCGTCTAAAGCCAACTGACGGCGTTTTCAACAACTGATTGGCCGAGGATAGCTGTAAATGGTCTTTTCAGCATCGCGTGTTCAACCCACTCCATTAACCCAGTATATCATCAAAGAAATGGACGCTAAAGCCCAACGAAAAGCTGTGAGTTCACTTGTGCACAAGTTCGCAAGTGATTCAGGTGTGCTTTTTAGGAACGACGACGTACAGTACGATCAGGTTTCGATCGTTACGACATTCCGAATGCAGAGCGAAAAGGTGGTGTTATTGAGGTGAAGAATAGTTCACGCGGGTGGGGTCTGCGATCTTCACGCACAACTGCTGACGAGAAAGGGCGTACGTCAGAAAGGTTGGCCGAAATTTCAGAGGTATTTCTGAACCAAACTGTTCGAATAACGTCTAATTTCAGTGCGAGAAAGGATACAGCAAAAGAGTCATCGCTGAAGGATGACCAGGCGGAAGCGGCTGATCATCTTGCCAGGCTCTTTGCGAATGCAAAAAAAGTGCCGGCAGCTGTGGAAAAGAAGCCTTCGTCTGGCAAGCCTGACAAAGGACCGCCAACGAGGAACCGAAGGGAACGTGGGAAAGGAAAACCCGAGTCGACGGCTCATGCGAAGGCTGATGAAGGTACCGTGAAGCTTTCATGATTGTGATTTTCCTTCGTTGCACAGTCCCGACTGGCTTTGGCGCGAAGCCTAACCGTTCTCCACCGGTTGTTGAAGCGAGCAGCGAGAACTGTTGGTGGGAAACAGACAAGCGTCGCGCCAAATCCAGCCATTCTGACATGACCCAGCATCCGCAGCGAACAATAATTTATAGACATAGGGACCCGTCATTTCCATTTTTATGTGGAACCTTCTCTGTCATTTCTCGTTTTCTTTTTATCTCTTGTTCATCTCTGCTCTCTCTTCCTTGCGAGCGTATCTCGTTGATTCGTATGCTCGTCCAGTGTGAAGGCTCCAAATGAGGGTTTCTCAACGGCTTTCTCTTTTTTTTCTTCGCTACTAAGCCAGCTAGCGTCCTCGAATTTAGATTGAGGTACCTTTACCCACGAGTTGCAATGGCGGCATGTGCCGAACGGGTATAGCAGACACTTCTACTGTCTTGAAAGCAGAGAAGTTACAATCTTGTTCGCTGCGGACGCTGGGGCGTGTCGGAGGGGCTGGATTGGGCGCGGCGCTAGCCAGATTTCCACTAACTGTGGTTGCCTACCAGCTCGCTTAATATGTGGAAGGGGCTGATTCGCGCCAAGCCGACATGTTGACACGCTCCATCATCCACAGCGGACAAGCTTGTATAATGGAATTAATTATTTTAACTAATAGGTGAAAAACCTTCTGATTCGCGCCCTACCGACGAGAATTCTGAAGCGAAACCAACGATGCGGCTGGATTTACCGCTCAAAAGAGGACTGCCACCAAAACGAGATCCAGTGGAACGCCAGAAGAAGAAAGAAGGTGAGTGGGAGTGAATTGATGGGTTACGGGCACCTTACTCTCAATCCAACCTCTTGCAGGACCATCACGCCCCATTAAAAAGCCATCGGAACGTTTGTTGGCGGCTGTTGCAGCGGCAACAGCTTCAAGCAGGGCGAATACCACTTCGTCAGGCGACGCGAAGCAATCGAAAAAGTACTCGGAGCGGATTCGGCGTAAAGGTACAGGTTAGACATATCGTAAATAAGAACCCAAAAATAATCAGAACCATGCTTTGCAGAAGAACAAGCGAAAGATGCGAAAGATGACAAGGAGTCTCCGGCGCAGTCCAACGCAACTTAGTCGCAGATGCTCCTGCAAGCTTTTGATGGAGCACCCCCCAGTTGGCAAGGACATCATGT